TTGCACAAATTTTTTTCATCGTTTTATAATTCACGATAGTACTTTAAATTATCAGTTTTAATTTCCCTCAAGTTATAATCGGTGCCCAGCCAAGTTTTCTCTCCGTCTCTCAGCGTCCGCTGTGGTACCGATTCAATAATTACAAAAATTTTCATTTATATACCTTGCAACTCCTACATGTCTTGTCATAATCTATTTATAATACAAGAACTTGTTTTCATTTTTTTTTCTCACTTCGCTTCGCCAGACATTTAATCTTACACCTTTAAGAAAAATTTACACAGAGCTTGTAACATCATGAATGAAATACAGGCATTATGTACAAATATTTATAATTATACATATATACTTTATTCCTCCATTTTCTTCTCTTTCTTTTCACTCGAATACGATCGTTCTATAACTGTTAAATTCGCGATCCCGCTGAGTGTACTTGGGTAACTCGACGAACGACACATATGTATAAATGCAAACTTATATATCTCGCGAACCTCATTGTCACGTTTAATGTAACACAAAAAATATATTCGTTCACTTTTTCGTTTTCTTACTTTTTTTCCTTTAACGATAAACGAAACAGTGATCCTTCTCGAGCAAGAATCACAAAGACAACGTATCTAAAGAAAAATTAATTTCTGCACGGAAGAAAAATTTAGTCACTCTTTCTCTCTCTATTCGCGAAATAACCGAAATTACCATTTCATGGTACACTTTCTTTTATTACCTCGTGTTCCTTTCTTTTGTACAGATTATGATACAAAGAAGTCGATAATATTTCGTTCATCTTGATTCTAGGACGAGAAAAAAGAAAAAGTGTTGTCGTCACGCGCCGCGAGAATCACTTAGCTCTAAAGTCGCCGTTCGAAAATTCGCAGAAGCATTGTATTAGAAGAGGTTCGAGTAAAAAAGCGTTTTGCCGTTAAGAAAATAAAAAGTACCAGTTAAACATCAGTTAGTCTGTTAACAGTTTGCTAAAGAAGTAAAGAAGCAAAAAAAAAAAAATCGTTTATTAAATTGTCGAAACCAGCAGTGTTTCAAGAATCGTACAATTTTGAGACTTGTTCTAACTAAAATAAAACAGAATAAAAATATAAAATAATATCTTTTCTGCCATTTTCATTTTCAAGTAACGTTCAATGCACTGTTTAAATCAAACTAAAATCGTCGTACCTATTCTACCATGTCTACTTGTCAATGTTGTAAACTGTTTAAAAAAAAGACTCTCAAACCCAAAATAGTTGCAAATAACTGGCTTGAAAAGTGGTTCTTTTAGTTTCTCGTCGCTCTTTTTTTTTTAATGCTGAAAACTTGAAAAACACCAGCTTTAAGAACATTTAGGCCTTTTCTAAGTTCCAAGTATAAATATACTTACACCTGTATCTATAATAGACAAACAACTCGGAAGCAATAATTGATCTCTGACTCGATCGGATCAAAAATGTATGTATGTATTTGTGTATTAGTGTAGCATTTTTACAGATGCTTCTTGTCAGATATCGTCTTAAAATGTGTATAGATGTGACAGTATAACACACGATCGAGGAAATGATTCAACACGACACGCTCCGTTTACCAGAAAAAGTATAGAAGTTCTTTACTAACTGTACCTCTTGATCAAATGTTACGGAAAGTTGAAAGAACGGCTAGAAGTTTCTTTCAAAGCTAAAAACCAATTTAAAGCAGAAGAAGTTCTTAGAATTTTTTATGCACTCCATTAATTTGTTTTTAGGAAGGGCCGGATTTGCACGCCAACTTGTATCGATATCATCACGCTTTATGTGTGATGCCTTACCAAATGACGTCTGACAACAAAGATTACTTCGATAATAAAACAAAAGAGAGACGATAATATAGCCATGTAATTGCAATATGCAATTATAAGCAAAAATCATAAATTCCTAACAAATACATTTCATAAAAAGGTTTCTTTACATTCTAGGTTTTCTTGTTGGTGACTTA